CAAAGAAAATAATCAATCTGATTTCAGTGTTGGCCATCTGGTAATGTCCATGTGTAAAGTCTTATCTTGTGTTGTTGGAAGAGGGTGTTTGCTATGACCAGTGAGTTCTCTTGGAAAAACTCTATTAGCCTTTGCCCTGCTTCATTCTGTACTCCAAGGCCAAATCTGCCTGTTACTCCAGGTGTTTCTTGACTTCCTACTTTTGCATTCCAGTCCCCTATAATGAAAAAGACATCTTTTTTGGATGTTAGTTCTAAAAGGTCTTGTAGGCTTTCATAGAACTGTTCAACTTCAGCTCCTTCAGCATTACTGGTCAGGGCATAGACTTGGGTTACAATGATATTGTATGATTTGCCTTGGAAATGAACAGAGATCATTCTGTCATTTTTGAGATTGCAACCAAGTACTGCCTTTCGGACTCTCTTGTTGACTATGATGGCTACTGCATTTCTTCTAAGGGATTCCTGCCCACAGTAGTAGATACAATGGTCATCTCAGTTAAATTCACCCATTCCAGTCCATTTTAGTTCGCTGATTCCTAGAGTGTGACATTCACTCTTGCCATCTCCTGTTTGACCACTTCCAATTTGCCTTGATTCATGGACCTAACATTCCAGGTTCCTATGCAGTATTGCTCTTTACAGCATCGGACCTTGCTTCCATCACCAGTCATATCCGCAACTGTGTGTTGTTTTTGCTTTGGCTCTGTCCCTTCATTCTTTTGAAGTTATTTCTCCACTGATCTCCAGAAGCATATTGGGCACCTACTGACCTGGGGAGTTCATCTTTCAGTGTCCTATCTTTTTGCCTTTTCATACTGTCTGTGGGGTTCTCAAGGCAAGAATACTGTTGAAGTGATTTGCCATTCCCTTCTCCAGTGGACCACATTTTGTCAGAACTCTCCGCATAAACTTTGAAAAAACGTTAAGGTGTAAGAAACTGACAGAGGAAGAATCAAAGGAACTGACAGAGAAAACGTAGAGAACTATTTATCCATTTCAGTGGTAGAAGGTGACAGACTGACCATGATCTAGGTGCATTTTGCAAGTTGACTTGGGCTCAGGAGGCTCCATGCCTGTGCTACCATGATCGTGGTTATACTGTTTGGGCAGAAATTGAAACAGAAAACCAGAAAAAGATTGCAACTGAAAATTGTGGGTAGTTATGTGTATTTTGTGGTGATTAGAACAGGTTGGCCCGACCTTCTGTCAGTCTACAATACCCTGAGCCTGGAAAGCTCTGCTTCCTTCTCTTATTTGAAAAGTCTAGTGTGTAAGAGCTGGTTAATGGAAGGAAGAAAAGCATATGGCATGTGTGCAAACCCCACACCTGTCTGTACTTCCTGGATGCGTGTAACTGTTCACAGTACCATTCACACTCTTCAGTGTAAAGGAAATATGCGTACCTATACATGGAGAATCAGATGTGCTACTGATTACATTAAGACTCTACAAATCAAAACTCTTCAGTTTGATAGGCAAGGACTTCTATAACCTCTTTTCACCCCGTTTTTGAGTTCTTCCTTTCCCTTCTGCATAACAGTTTTTTCTAGACAGATTTTTTTTTTCTTTTCTGTCCCTGCTTCTCCCATTTTTTCATGTTTGCTTCCACTTCTCCATGTGAGAGATGTACTTTAGTTTTAATCTGCTCCTTGAGATTTCTTCTTCTTTGTGATTTATCTTATTCCTCGGCCTGCTTCAAGAATATGGTTGTTTTTGTTGTTTGTTACTTTGTATTATTAGTTCTCAGTCAAATTGCCCAGTGTATCTAACCCCACCTTTCTTGCTCTGAGCAGATAACATTATCTAATACTTTATTAGACAAATCTAGGTCATGTAGCATAAACAGTTTCAAATCCTTTCCTTTTAATCTCAGAATATGTCAGTTTCTCTTTAGCTCTCAAAAAAAGGTGTCAGTGAAGAGTCAGTTGGCCCAACCACCACAGTCATTGCTGCGTCGTTAACGGCCAGATGCTAGAATGCTAAAGTAGAGAGCCACAGTGCAGTGAGAAGAACCCAGAGCTACTGACTAGAATATGTGGCTTCAATGGCACCCCACTCCAGTACTCTTGCCTGGAAATTCCCTGGGGACAGAGAAGCCTGGTAGGCTGCAGTCCCTGGTGTCGCTGCGAGTCGGACACGACTGAGCAGCTTCTCTTTCACTTTTCACTTTCATGCATTGGAGAAGGAAATGGCAACCCACTCCAGTGTTCTCGCCTGGAGAATCCCAGGGACGGGAGAGCCTGGTGGGCTGCCGTCTATGGGGTCGCACAGAGTTGGACACGACTGAAGCGACTCAGCAGTAGCAGCAGCAGCAGTCCATTTCTGGGTTTCCCAAATTTGCCTGCCAATGCAGCAGATGAAGAGACCCAGGTTTGATCCCCAGGTCAGGAAGATTCCCTGGAGTAGGAAATGGCAACCCACTCCAGTACTCTTGCCTGGAAAATCCCATGGACGGAGGAGCCTGGTAGGCTATAGTCCATGGGATTGCACAGAGGCGACACGACTGAAGTGACTTCGCACGCACAGTCCCTCTCTGATAGTGTTACATACTTACTCTCTGGGTACCCTTCACTGTTCTCCCATCTGAAAATAAAAAGCCATGTCTTCAACTCTGCTGATGGTTTATCCTTATTTTTCTTCTAGCCACAAATGTTTCAAAGATTGTCCTTTCTTGTTGATTTCACTTCATCATTATTTCCTACTTCTCAACCTGGTAACCTGGCTTTTGTTTCTATTACTTATCCATCTCAAAACCCCAAGTCTTCCCAACATCTCTTTTTTATATCTCTGAAGGACTGCTGATCTCTGGCATCTTTAGTTCTCATAATTCTTCCCCCTTTTTAATACATTTGATTTCAGTGACTTCTCTGGTGGCTCAGACAGTAAAAGCATCTGCCTACAATGTGGGAGACCCAGGTTCAATCCCTGGGTCAGTAAGATCTCCTGGAGAAGGAAATGGCAACCCACTCCAGTACTCTTGCCTGGAAAATCCCATGGACGGAGGAGCCTGGTAGGCTATAGTCCACGGGGTTGCAAAGAGTTGAACACAAAGTTCAATTGAAAGTTGACTTCACTTTCAAGCAAGCTTTCTACAAAAATTATTGAATATCTCCCTGTGCCAGTCACTACTCTAGTGCTAAGGGTACGGTCATGACCCCTGTCCTCATATTGCATTGGAGCCTTGTGACAATAACAGACATTAGTCAACTAACGCGACATATAAATATAGAACTCTAGCTGTGATAAAAGCTGTGAACGAGAGGAACATTGTGTTATGGGAACACTGAATAGGAAGATGTGTTCTAGTCTGACTTCCCCTTTGAGAAATTGAGCATTGACTAAGACTTGAAGTATGCATAGAGTAAACGTACAGAAGTAAGGGATGAGGAGGATGGTGTCCCTGGCCAAGAAAGTAGTGAAAACTCCTGCGGCAACAGGGAGTCAACTGTGTGTGAGGTAAAGAAGATATGGATGAAGGTAAAGAGATTGAGACCATCTGAAAGGAAGATAGGGACCAGACCTTGCCAGAACTGAAATCATGTTAAGGGGTCTGTCCTTAATTCAAAGACAATGGGAAGCCATTGGGATGGTGTGTGTGTGTGTGTGTGTGAGAGAGAGAGAGAGAGAGAGAGAGAATGTGTGTATGTGTGTGTGAGAGAGAGACATACTGTGTTTAGAAGCAATCTTTCTGGCTAATATATGGATTGAAGAGGAGATGCAACTAAGAGATGACTACACAAATTCAGGGAACAGATAATACTTTCTGTTGTGGATATGGGCTTCCCAGGTGGCACAGTGTTAAAGAATCTGCCTCCTAAGGCAGGAGACACAGGATCTTCCTCCCTGGGTCAGGAAGATGCCCTGGAGGAGGAAATGGCATCCCACTCCAGTATTCTTGCCTGGAGAATCCTATGGACAGAGGAGCCTGGCAGGCTACAGTCGATGGGGTCTCAAAGAGTCAGACTTGACTGAGCACATGTACACACAAGTTCAGGGAACAGATGATGCTTTCTCTATTGGGGATAGAGAAAAATAGACAGATGCAGGAGATAGAAAGTGAAATTGACAGGTCTCAATAGAGATGAAATTAGGGTGAGGGACATGTCATGCTTGTCTGCTGGGTTTCTGACTGTGGAGAGTGGATAGTTTCCCAGTTGCTCTTCCAGTCGATCCCTAAGTGAGGTTGCTCTTGCAGTGCTACTCTCAGCTCCCTCTTCTACACTCTCTCCCTTGGTGACCCTTTAATTTTCAGGCTTAAGCTCCCATTTCAACAAGATGTTGCCCAAACCTAAAATGCTATTTACTCCAGAGAGCACAAGTTGGTGGCCCATTTGCCACAGAGCCATGTTCTGTTTATCCTTCAGTATTCTTTTTTAATTTAAAAATACAAATTACAGAACATTTAAAAATCAGAAACTTTTACAAAAAAATCCATATTTATAACTCTCTAAAATTTGGAAACCCCATCAACACTGAACCCATTTTCTCTCATGTCCACAGTTGATTGGCACTAGTGACAGCTGATCCTGTGAGTCTAAGCACGTATTTTCCACTTTGCCATAGTCTCTGGCATCTGGGCACCTGGCCAGCACGTCCACTGAGCTCTTGTTTGGTCACTGCAGGCATTGGCTTTGAAACCTCAGATTTAGTCCAATCACCTCAGGATGTAGAGTGTGCCAAGGAGAGTAGGCGCCTTAACCAGCATCATACCCCTAAAAACGAACTCAACCAGTGCTCAAATCTCAGAGTCTTTCCTCTCCCTGTACTGATTTATGCTAATGCTGAAAACTTCAGCCTCCTATCACTTGGCAGTTGGCATCATAGCAATTGTTAGGCTGAGATATCTGACCAGTTCAATCAGAGATATTTTACATTTACGTATTTGAATCCCTTATTTTCAATAGAGATTTACATATGTTTAAATGATATGAAAAGTCCAACTATTAACTATATAAAAGCTTGCTCATATCACTGTTGTTTGTTTGTTTGTTTCTCTAGAACTCTTAGAACGATCTCTAGCCCTTTTAAACAAAAGTCAACAACTCACTGACTTCATAGAAAAAATCAAGTGTGATGGACCTAATGTAAATGCTGAGATGATTCAGGGAGCTCAAAACAGCTGCCTGAAGATCGACAGTCTTCTTGAACTTCTCCAAGACAGGAGGCGGCAACTAGACAAGTACCTGAAACAACAGCAGCAGGAATTGAGTCAGGTTCTGCAGATGTGTCAGTGGGACCAACAGGAAAGTCAGGTAACCCGAATGGGCACTGATGGTATCCTGACCTTGGCTAGTGAAATTGGCTCACTATGTGGAGATCACTGTCATGGTCAAATCCTTTGGTCTTTGATCCAAAGTACCATGTTGTTTTCCCAAGCAAGTAATATAAAAACAAAGGTTCTATTTCTTCTCATTGTGATCCTCAGTTTTTTAAATGGGAGGATATCCACTAGCAGTTGTGAAAATAACTAGGTCCTTTTGTTGGATTCGCTTTCTTGTTTCCATCCAGGTCACTACTTTTAGATACATTTTTTTGAAATTGGGAAACGTTCATTGTGGTTTTCTTGAATGTTGGAGATGTACGATGGTGCTGAATTGTACTAGATGGTTGCTAATGCCAGTGAAAGTATATCAGCCTAAAATAGAGATAATGTTCTTAGAGGAGCAGTCCGATACCAATGAAGAAATATAACCTTGGCCTATGGTTGGATGCTCAGTGGTTAGAGGGGTTTGGAGTGGGAGGTTGATGAGCTACAGGCTTGTCAGAGCTCATTACCCAGACTATCGGCCCAGCGCTGGTCATTTGTCACTGTGCTGACTGTATGTTCCTTGTGTCCCAGTCACTTGAGAGTAAGAGTGGATAGAACTTTTTGCAAAACCCCAGCTCAAATAGGTAGGATATTTATTGCTATGTTTATAACTGCCCCAGTCCCATGCTTTAACCCATACAGATTAAGTGGAAGGAATTTTTAGGGAGAAATGATGTGGAAGTAGGTATCCTGGTCTAGATGCATAAGAAAGATGCATACTTTATATTATTGCTCTGGTCTAAACTGGAGAGATTGGCATAACAAATATGAGTCCAGGAGAATTGGTTCTTTCAAGCTGGAAAAATGAGGATTTAAATGACAACTAACCTTTCAGGTAATACTTGCTGAGTACCCACTGTTTGCGGTACTGCTGTGCCTAGTCGCTCAGTCATGTCTGGCTCTTTGTGACCCCATGGACTCTAGTCTTCCAGGCGCACTTACTGTATACCAGGTCCTACTATAAGTACTGGGGATACACAACATACAAGATAAAGTCTTTTTCCTCTAGTGATTTTCCTTCAGTGCATTTCCTTAGGAATTTTCCTTCTAATCCTAAGCACTTTCTAATGCTTATGTCAATAACCTCAGCACTATTGACAGTTGGTGCTTGGTAATTCCTTTGGGAGGCTGTCCTGGGCACTCTAGTGTGTTGAGCAACATTCCTGGCCTTCTACCTATCAGATGCCAGTAGAATATACTCTAATTGTAACAACCAAAAAGGTCTCCAGAAATTGCTAAATGTCCCCTGGGGGGCAAAGTTACCCCCAGATGACAACCATGGTTCTAGTGCTTTTTGTTGTTATTGTTCAGTTGCTAAGTCACGTCTGACTCTTTGTGACCCCATGGACTGTAGCCCTCCAGGCCCCTCTGTCCATGAGGTTTGCCTTCTAGAATACTGAAGTGGGTGGCCATTTCCCCTTCCAGGGGTACAATAATAAATAAACGAACAATGACAAGTGCTATAAGGAAGATTAACTAGGGCAGTGAACTTTGCCTTTTGTTGATCTACTTTTAATCAGAGAAGGAATCACAGAAGGCCTCTCTGAGGAGGTGTCATTGGACAGACACCCAAATGCAGACACCGCCAGACACATAGTCATCTTGCATTTTGTCACCTCCTCCTCTAAGTCACTATACATGTCTCAGCCCATCTCCACTTTCATCCCTTTTGCCTTGGCTACCGTTTGCTGTCCTGCTTCTGCTGTACTTTGTCTGCTAAGCCACAGCCCTTCCCCAGTTTAGTTCTTCCCCCACCACACCTTTACATGCTCACTACCCAGAATTATTTTGTCTAATGCAGTAGTCTTTAACTTAGAATTCTGGCACAGCAAGGGATTTCCTGGTGGCTCAGACAGTAAAGGGTTTGTCCACAATGCAGGAGACCCTGGTTCAATCCCTGGGTCAGGAAGATCCCCTGGAGAAGGAAATGGTAACCCACTTCAATATTCTTGCCTGGAAAATCCCAAGGGTGGAGAAGCCTGGTGGGCTATGGTCCATGGCGTCGCACAGAGTTGGGCACAACTCAGTGATTGACACTTTCACTTTCACTTTCTGGCACAGCAACGGAGAATTAATGCTCAGGACAAGAAAAAACATAAAGTTGTTTATCAGACAACCGTTTCCAGAGTTCCTTGACCTCCCCATTCCATAACACTCTACCCTTTTCTTTCTCTTTGTCCTTCTCTTTCTCCCCTAATCCTGACCTGAAGCCATGTTCCCAGAGATGCTGTTCACTTAAAAATAAACTTCTTATTTTCTTTGTATTGAATTCATAACGCCTAACCCCTACCTCTAGTGCTTCCAAGAATACATTAAAAGCTCCTCTAACTTTATCGTGTAGAGTAGTTTATCCCTTTTAAACTACAACTTCTCTTATCCAGAGATAGTCTATCTGCAAAGAGGCTTTCAAAACACAGAACAGTTTCCCAAGAATGAAAAAGCAGCTACTGTAAGTTTTATTTATTTTTAAGGTAGTAATTTTGCCTTTCTGCTTTGAGACTATGACAATAATCATCCACTTATCCTCTGCAGTAAAAAATAAATAACCACATGAAGATTCAAAATGAACTATCTAATCTAGTCATGTGGTTAAGGGAAATCTAGAGACCATGCCAACCCCAGAAAGCATAAAGATGTCTTGATAATAACTAAAGTAAGAGATTACAGAAGGTTTTTGATTTGGTGAGTTCTCTAACTTACATTGCTTCGTATTTGGGGGAAAGTGTGTGTTCTTTTTGAGGCAGTGCTTTTTAAAATAAAATTTATTTATTAGAGAAGTTTTAGATTCATAGCAAAATTGAACAGAAAGATATCCTCTGTTCCCACACATTCACAACCTCTCCCACTATCAACATCCCCCAACACAGTGGTACATTTGTTGTAATTGATGAACCTACACTGACACATTATTATCACCCCAAGTCCATAGTATTCACTAGGGTTTACTCTGGGTGCAGTACATTCTATGGGTTTGGAAGAATATGTAATGACATATATTAACCATATAGTACACAAAATATTCTGCTGCCCTAAGAATCATCTACATTCCACCTATTCATTCCACTCTGCCTAATCCTTGGCAAAAACGGATCTTTTTACTGTCTCCATAGTTTTGCCTTTTTCAGAATGTCATATTACTGAAATTGTATAATGTGTAACCATTTCAGATTGTCTTCTTTTGCTTATTAATATGCATTTAAGATTTATCCATTTTTTTCATGACTTGACAACTCATTTCTTTTTAGCACTGAATAATATCCCATTGTCAGTCACCTACTGAAGGACAACTTTGTTGCTTCTAAGTTTTGACCATTATGAATAAAGCTGTAATTAGTATTCCATGTGCAGGTTTTTGTATGGACATAAGTTTTTAATTCATTTGGGTAAATACCAAGGAACACAGTTGCTGGATGATATATGCTAAGAGTATGTTTATAAGAAATAGCCAAACTGCCTTCCAAAGTGGCTGTACCACTTTCGAGGAGAGTTGCTGTTGTTCCACGTCCTATCAGCACTTAATGCTCTCAGGGTCTTGGACTTTGGCCACTGTGATAGGAGCATAGCAGTATCTCATTGTTGTTTTAACTAGTCTTTAAATTGGAAATAATGACAATTCACAGACTTGTTCTAAGGATTAAATTCAATAACAAGTGTAAAGCATGGAGCACAATGCCTACCATTTTAAAAGATGCTTAATAAATACTATTTTCTTATCATCATTGTTCTTGGATATACCTTACAACTTATGAATTTTTTCTCATTTCATTCCTATTCTTTCCCCCGGGTTTAGCATTACTATTGTTATATGTGTCTAACTCTCTTAAAACTGTTTAGTTTTTAGAGGCTTCCATAGGTATCAGTTCAGTTGCTCAGTCATGTCTGACTCTTTGTGATCCCTTGAACCATAGCATGCCAGGCCTTCCTGTCCATCGCCAACTCCTGGAGTTCACCCAAACTCAAGTCCATTGAGTCTGTGATGCCATCCAACCATCTCATCCTCTGTTGTCCCCTTCTCCTCCTGCCCCCAATCCCTCTCAGTGTTAGGGTCTTTTCTAATGAGTCAGCTTTTCGTATTAGGTGGCCAAACTATTGGAGTTTCAGCTTCAACATCAGTCCTTCTAATGAACACCCAGGACTGATCTCCTTTAGAATGGACTGTTTGGATCTTCCTTGCAGTCCAAGGGACTCTCAAGAGTCTTCTCCAACACCACAGTTCAAAAGTATCAATTCTTCGGTGCTCAGCTTTCTTTATAGTCCAACTCTCACATCCATACATGACTACTGGAAAAACCATAGCTTTGACTAGACGGAACTTTGTTGGCAAAGTAATGTCTCTGCTTTTTAATATGCTATCTAAGTTGGTCATAACTTTCCTTCCAAGGAGTAAGCATCTTTTAATTTCATGGCTACAGTCACCATCTGCAGTGATTTTGGAGCCCAGAAAAGTAAAGTCAGAAAAAAATAAAACCATAGGTATAGTAAGGCTTTAAGAATTCACAGTTGTGGTTACAAGAACCAGGCTTTCATTTAGACTCGACTCTTAATAGTCTAGAACCAAAATCAGTTTAGTTATTATCTTAAGGATAAATTTTATTTTCAGTAAACCTGGTCTATTTCCAAAATATACAGACAACTCATACAGCTCAGTATCAAAAAAACAAAAAACAAAACAAGAAAACAACCCAATTAGAAAATGTGCTGAAAATCTAAATAGATATTTCTACAAAGAAGACATAAATCTAGCCAACAGGCACATGAAAAGGTTCTTGCTCAGCATTGCTAATTATTAGAAAAATGCAGATCAAAACAACAGTGAGGTATCACCTCAAACAAGTCACAGTAATTGTCACCAAAGAGTCTATAAATAGTAAATACTGGAGAGGATATGGAGAAAAGGGAACCCTCCTACACTGTTGGTGGGAGTGTAAATTGGTTCAACTACCA